AAATAATCGATAACGCGACCGATATGTATGTACCGAGAACGGGCTATGTGTATCCACGGTGCCTAGTACATACGGTGCATATACACGCAGCCGCTATTCGTCCTTACGTGGAGGGGGGCGGGGTGGTGTGCGCGCAGCTGTGTGCGCGCGGTTACGCGCGGGCGTCCGAGATGGCGGGAGGGGGGGGGGGGGGGCTTAGATTAATTCCGATTAATAGAATTGTTTTGGGATCGGATGTGGAGGGGGAGATTTGGAGAATTTTGGAGAAGCGAGAAGGGGGGAATGGGGAAAGTTGAAAGTGAGGAGGTGATGTGAACTGGGGAAATGTTCGAAAATCGTGTTTAAAGGGGATGCAATTTTTGTCCCGGTTCCCCAACATTGAAAATATATAATTCGTGTGTATGTGAGATAACGAGGGAGGGGTGAATTTGGGATTTCTTTTTCTGAAAGAAAATGCGTGCAATTTTTTTTCTAGCAATTATTATGCATGGTGAAAAATAATTCGTGGTTAAGGGATAGAACGAGATAGATTTGAAAGCGAAAGGAAAGATTAGGAATTTCAATTATATTTTTTTTTTTTTCTTTTTTGTTCAATTATGAATCGTGTATAAAATAATTTATAGATTAACGCGAAGAAAAACACGCAAAATGGAATTTTTATTTCAAGTTTTGGATGCGCAGCTAGGTTTTGGAAGTGAAAAGAGAAATTGAATGATAATTGCAATTTTGGACGAAAGTGATTCGGGCGAGAATCGTTGAATTAGAAGGGTTAATAAAGGGGTCGATTTGGGGCTAATAGAATTGTTCCAAGTTTGACGGACGAGAGAGTCGACTAGATTTTGAAAGGGGAAAATTCTGTAGTCTTTCGAGTACAGGATTCTTGGAAAATAGGAAAGTTGGTAGAATTGAATGGAAAGAGGAGGGATTGGCAAACCTTGCTTTTTCGCAAAGTTGGATAAATAAAATTTCTCGAAGGGACTCGAAAAAAGCTCGATGGTAGATTTTCACTGACGGATTTTGGTAGCGAAAAGTTGAAGTGAATAGGGAGGAGGATCATTTGCGATCCTGTTCCTCGAAAGCGAAGAGTAATTTTTATTTTTTTTAGAGAAAAACTTTCTGGAATTCTGGTATGATCTAGATTTCTCGAAAACTGAAACGAGCGGTTTCCAGATAGAAATCCAGATAGATTTTCAATCCTTTACTTTTTCTTGTGCCTTCTACTTATTCTCAAATTTAAACGAAAAATTAAAAACAGAGCTTACGATTAATAAATTCTTACGAATCGAGAAATTTTCGAAAGATAATCGATATCGAGCGATAATTTACGAGCGAGCAAAACAGTAAAAGAGAGAGAAAGAAAAGAAGAATCGTAGAGCGTGGATAGAAGTCATAGGGGTGAGGATAGCAGAGAGGAAGTGGTATTGCATAAAATTTGCATACCGCCATACCGAAAGAGAGATAAGGGCGTTAATATAGTGGGCAAATAATGCCAGTTTAGAGTTTACCTCGTACATACGTATATATACGACGAAAGTGAGATACTGCGAGGTGCCACGAGGGGAAAATAGCGTGGAAGACAGAGGGAGGAGAGCGTGGGCGAGTGTAAGAAACGCTTCGAAACCGGGGACCCTGCTAATAATAACTCGTGCAGATTTTCCATATATAAACACTTTAGGGGTAGAAACACGGCGGGGTTCGAAGGGGGACGGGTTGGAAATCGCCGTTCGATGCGAACGAATAGGCAAAAAGTAATATCTCTTCTACCGCTTTTTCCACAAAGATAGACAGAGAGAGAGAGAAAACAAAAGCGTGATCGCGTTACGACAGAGAGAATTAACAAACAAGAGAGACGAAGAACAGAGAATTAAAAAAAACACATTGCGAAAGAGGAACAAAACTATCGCTCTCTCTTAAATTTAAACTTGGCGTTAAAATCTCAAAGTTAAGATAATAGTAGAAAAAAAAAAAAAGAAAAGGCAAACAAAAAAGAGAAGAGCAAGTAGAAAGAAGAAGAAGAATTCGAGATGCATGGAAAGCGTAAAGACAGGGGTAGAAAAAATTTGTACACGACCACCGGAGTGAAGCGTTTGTGTGAAACCGTACATATCCCTCGAAAGAGGGAGGGTGAGAGGAAGGAAGGGTGAGACAGTGGCGAGCGAGCGGGCGCGCACACACACGTATACGCGTATGCACGCCAAGTATGCGCGACCGCAAGTATATGGAACGACAGAGAGACGGAAACGTGGGCGAGGAGGAGCGAGGAAGAGAGAGAAACGGGTCGAGGGAGACGCGAAGAACAGCAGCGCGTTGTAGTTGGTTGTTGTTGGCGTGGCCAGAGAGAAAGCAAGACGCGAGAACAGGGAAACCATATGTACCTAACGTGAAATTTGTACATGGCCGCAAACGGGTGAGAGAGGTCGCGCGTGATCGTGGAAGGGGGTCGAAACGTACGTCGTAGCTACACACACACACACACACACACACACATATACGTGCACACGGGCCATTACTGCCAACCGTCGCTCGGTGGTCATCGCGCCCCTATACCCTCGACGGCCATTGAAATTTGCTGAAAGTGTGCCGCAAACACGCGAGTTTCCCTCGAAAACTTCTTCGATCTTCTTTATCGACCGAGAAATCTCTCTTCAAACTCGCCTGTCGTTTCGAATCCCAGGATTCGCGCATTCGTCCTTTTACATTCGTTCTTTGGAAAGTTGAATTTTTTCTTTGGGGAGAACGAAAAGAGGGTTTGTTTGGAATCGAAATTCCATCCCTGTCTGATCGATGATATAGAAATATCGAGGACACGTTCCAGGAAGCATTTAAAATTCGTCTCTGCTTGAACGGAAACGGTTCATTCGTTTAAAAAAACTTGGGCTCGACCTCCTTCCTAAACACGATCTTCTTGTTCCCATTGCTCGTTCCGGCTGAAAATTGGCAGAAACGTTCGTAAGAACATTCGATCTGATCTTTTTCGACGAAATATTTTTTCTTTTTTTCTTTTTTTTCTTTTACATTTCGCGAAATAAATGGAAATGGAATTTTTGAAATTAATTAATAAAGATAAAATCAAATTTAAAATCAGCAACGCGTTTTTAGCCGTGGGTTCGAACGAAAAAGAAAAAGAAAAAAAAAACGAAAAAGAGAAATTCGATCGAGGGAATCCCGCGCGCGTTCCTACGTTATCGATTATTCGACCGCCGCGCGCGGGGATTTTAATTTCGCGCGGGCAAAAAGAAAGCCGCGAAACGGACCGAGAATTTTTATGAATTAA